CTGGCATTTATGGATGGATGTCGTTCAAACTTGGTACATATGTTAGACATTACAGGTTCCTGATGCACATCATTTATTTTTCAGATTGGATTCAAAATGGCTGTTTGTTTTAATGATTGGGCTTCTAGAGCCATATCTCTTAAATGCTTTCACTGATTATATTCAAATTTTATATATCCGTTATACATCATGTTATATATATATATTTATATATACATGTATTCAAAATGGCTGATTGTGAATGCTGTTCCAAAGCAATATCTCTCAATATGGACAAGTACTTTTTTGACGATCAGATACAAATGTCAATTATTTTAATGTTAAAAAATCATATTCCTGACATGGTTATATTCCAGCTATATTACTATAAACAAAACTATATATCTTAAATTTGATAACTAACTGGGACTGTGCCATGCATGGCTTGTTTCATCCTACCATAATAGGAAATGCGAATTCCAAATATGGAATGATTACACGCGTAAGCGTCCTCCAATAATAAAAACAAACATGGCTGCCCGGACTCCACACAAAGAAGTTCCCTGATAAATATTTTGAATTTCGCTTTCCCATGTTGTATCCTTGAAAGGAAAATATGTATAATAATAAGGTTATTACGAGAATACCTCAAAGTATGCACTCAGACAATACGCCGCGTATTGATACTCGATACTCGGTAACCTTATAATATTCCAATTACAAAATTCATTCATATTTCTAATATAGCTAATTGAGTTATTGCATTATATAATTTAATTTACAGATACAAGTGGATTATTCCCCTGACATTTACCGATGGATTAGACCCTAAATATGGAGAGAATGAGAGGAATCGGATATGGCTGAGTAATGGACCAGGTAATAATTGCCCACTGTCAAAACATATTTATATATAATTGCACTAAATGACTGAAGTAAACACATACTCACCCATACTACTTATTTACTTGATAGTTTTCATGAACGACTCATCTAAACTAAGTGGTGGAAATAATAATTGGTTACTAGCAAACATAGATCAAACTGGATATTTCAGAGTCAACTACGATGCAACCAATTGGCGACTTCTCAAAGAACAGTTACTTGAAAACCATTTGGTAAATAACTTTCTTTATTGTATCCTCTCAATTATCGCACATCCCAGACTAGCTTCTGATAAATGCATAAGTTTACGATCCGTGGTACATCGTGGCCATTCCGGGATGTAAACTCGTTCTTACAATAAATTAAATACAACATTAGTATATTAGGCCCATTTTGTATGATATTTCCACTGTGTGCATGCGACACAAAACTTAATATATTGTCAAATATTTTGATTTTTATTATTTCCATGGGATACCAAATTTCGTATTTACGTCTGTCAAATAACTGCCAAATAAATACGTGGAATCATTAATTACTAAGGACCTAGCGTAGAATTGGAAATTACTACAAATAAACAAATATTCAATTCTGGAACAGGATAATAGTATATTTGGTTATTGATGAAATAGTAGGGCGCCACCAGACGATCTGGCTTAGCAAGTGCGTCGTGCTTCTTTCATGAAGTTGACGCTGATTGTGCACAAAGGAAGGATCCGTGGTACATCGTGGCCATTCCAGGATGTAAACTCGTTCTTACAATTAAATAAATACAACATTAGTATATTAGGCCCATTTTATATGATATTATATGAACCGTGTGCATGCGACGCAAAACTCAATATATTGCCAAATATTTTGATTTCAATTTTTCCATGGGATAGCAAATATAGTATGTTTTGGAAAACTTTTAATTCATTATCAGTATCAGTGTGTTTGAATTTCCGCGAATTAACATTATGGCATTTTACGTCTGTCAAATACCGGCCAAATAAATACGTGGAATCATTAATTACTAAGGACCTGGCGTAGAATTGAAAATTACTCCAAATAAACAAATGTCCAATTCGGGAACAGGATAATAGTATATTTGGTTATTGACGAAATAGTAGGGCGCCGCCAGACGGTCTGGCTTCGCAAGTCCGTCGTGTTTCTCTCATGAAGTTGACGCTGATTGTGCACAAAGAAAGCCGCTCATCCCGCCATTGGATGGTGGCACATCGTGTATGTGATGTTTACAAATGACGTGGAGATGATCCGTGGTACATCGTGACCAATAATAAAATGATTGGTTGTCCAACTGTGGGCGTGTCTTTTATTTCTGTGCTAAATGTGCAACACCAAAGTCACGCCATTTATTTTTCATGGTTGTTTGAATAATCGTCTGCACCAGTATCGCAAGGTCTAAGTTTGGTTTAGTATGTTGTTAAGACCGCGTAAATTCATTTTACCGCCACTTTACAGCGGTTTTCACACATACACCAGTTAATTCCGTTACCCAATGGCTGAAGAAATTTCACATCGACCACACACCCCAAAACAGATAACGAGATTTGACAGGATCGGTCATTGCGCATGCGTATAAAACAGCTGGTACTAATATCCTAATTTCCTAATAACTTATTTTGCACTCGTACAATGCAAACTACATATTGGATTAGGTTGGTTGGCCATCAAGTACTATCCTATGGCACCCAATTCATATATCACCAATACCATAGTACAGAGTTATGTTAACAACGAGTCAAAAAAAAAACTAATATACTAAATTGTTATGTAATTAATTGTAAGGATGAGATTACATTGTGAAATGGCCACGATGTAACACCTGTAGTTTAACATATTATAATTTATTTCTCACTTTTTTAATTGTTTTAGGTGATACCAACAGCTAGTCGTGCAGCTATTCTTAATGACGTATTTAACTTGGCAAGAGGACAACATATCAACACACTACTGGCACTGGAGATATCACGTTACCTCGTCGTAGAACGAGATTACGTACCCTGGTCGACAGCCAATGATGTCTTGGCATACATACACAACATGCTGAGAACAACTAGTGCCTACGGTGTTTATATCGTAAATAATTATTATAATATTGTTTATTATCTTTTACACTGGATCAGACAGAAATCAGGGGCGGATCTAGGATTCTGGGGGGGGGGCGATAAGTTGGCCTAAGGCCAAGTTCGCGAGCGCCGATGGCGCGAAGTACTGTTGGTTGTTAAAAATAAGGGGGCGGCCCCTCGGCCCTCCTCTAAATCCGCTCATGGAAATGTACATATCTCTACTCAGCTATCGTGTTTTATGGTAATGTTTGTTTACTATGTTACAGCAATACATATTGGAACTAGTAACACCACTATATAGCAGTCTTGGATGGAGCGATGAAGATTCAACTGACCTTGACAGGTGTGTTCTTAATTGATGGAACAATATCATTTGATAATTTCGAGTCGCTCGTTTTACGAAAATGAAACATATTTAGCTTGTTGTTTCGGAAAAATGTGAATGTTTGTATATGCAATATTGATAAAAGTGGAATAGTTTTGAGGGACAGTTATAGAGATCCATGCTACTGGGTGCTACGAAAGGTTGTTTCAACCAATGGAAACTTCTTCAGATTTGAATGAGAGACTTCCAGGATGTTTTTTTTTTCATTTATCTGTTTTATAAGTGTTTGTAACGAAATCGTATAGAACATCCGAAAAGCATAGTAGTACGTAATTGTTTTCACCGTTACTG